TGTGTTTTGTTTTCTCTTTTGCCGTTGTGTTTTCTCTTTTGCTGTTGTGTTTTCTGATTTGCTGTTGTCATTTGCACCTCAGGGCCACCGTACATTTGAGGTATCCCCGTTTATCTGGACACACTGTAATTGACTCTTTGCATATACTGGCTCTATTCGTGTCTCATTTATATTCTCCTATGCACCAACACACCAAGGCAAATTCCTTGTATGTGACAATAAACCTGATTGTGTCTCTCTTGTCACACTGCCCTGAACTCCATACCTTGCTGAGCCAGCTGTGTTCCCACCTCTGGCAGCCCACAGTAAACTACATCTCCCAGAGCCTCCTGCAAAAAGCAGAAACCAAGGTCAAAGGTTAGTGGCAGAAACACCTTTTACTTTAGTGTGTGTGTGTGTGTGTGTGTAATCGCACGGCCTGGAAGCTTACCTGCGCAAAGTTGCTGATCCCCACAGTCCCAATCCCTTCGTCGTCTACCCGAATCCATTCATGCTTGTCAGTGAACTTAAGCGCTGCAAGATAACACAACAGACTCATAACACAAAGAGCCTCCCACTAAAACAAGACATGCACCAGCGCCGCCATCTCTCGTGTCCTCTCCTCTGTCACCCTCTGGCTACTGGAAATGTCAGCTAACATGCTACAACCACACACATTCACAGGCCAATACCTGCTGTTAATCTGCTAGAGGAGGCTAGTGTTCTTCCAAAACGGGACTGAGGTGCCAGTCGCAACGGAGAAATTGGCGCCGAGCGGGTAAGCAAAGGCAAAACTGTGAGAAAGTTGGAAGACAGAGAGCGGAATAGCCCACAGGCGGCCATCTTTGTCGCTTACTGATGAGTGCGTGGGTCTCTTCTTCGTGGATATGAGAGGCGTCGTGAGCGCTTTACTGCCATCCTGTGATCAATAACAACAATGTACTGTGTTTGCTTTTATTTGGGTCTGACTGGTTTCCTTTTTATAGCTTTTTTCCCCTCGTATATTGGGATGTTTCCCTGTTCCTGAACAGCAATTTGACATTAAAATCCATTTAGCTGATATTCAATATGTGTGGCTTTTGTCTTTATTTTCTACTTGCATACTTATTTGGTCAAAACTATAATATATAACCAAATATTAAAAACTTCATCACAGTAGCTAAGAACTCTTAACAGCTCTGGATTGTGGTGCTTATTTTGAAATAATGCCTTCCTTTCTTGCTTGTTAACCATCTTACCATTCTGAGCTCATTTTTAATTATAGGATACTGTGGTATTATTATTTACCCAGAAACCACAAATTCTGTTTTATTTTTAGGAGTAGACTATAATCTGCTTTTTATTGGCTTCAATCCTGGAGCGACCCAGGACCCATATTATTAGTGCCACTGCGTAGTCCAATTTTCTTCATCAACATGAGCTTTTGGTATACAACTCTTCAAAGCTATACAGCAGCTGAATCCAGATAAATAATGTTGGCCTTTTTTGTTTTAGTATTTTTTGGGGGCTTTTATTGCCTTTATGGTAGTGACAGCTGAAGACAGACAG